AGGTGGCCTGCTCCGACAACTCATGGCTCACCTCTGAAGTGCAAAATCATGGACTACCAGCACGCCGCATAAACTACAACGCAGGCTTCGACATCTACGACCCCCAGACTTGGGTACGCCTTCAAGACCTACGGCGACGACACAGACCCAAGCGCATCTGGCTCTCCTTCCCATGCACAAAATGGTGCCAGTTCACCAATTTGAACTACAACACCCCGGAACGTCGAGAAGTCCTTGAAACAGCCCGACGTCGAGAACGCAAAATGCTGAAGAACGCCAAGCAGTTCATCCTGCAGGCCCTCGACGAAGACCCGGACTTCGACATCTACTGGGAATGGACCCATCCCTGCGCTGGATGGGAGCAGCAACCAGTTGTTGACCTTCGTGAAGGTCTACGAGCTCGTGGTCTGGACTGGCTTCCCTGCCGAGTTGACGGCTGTCGCTATGGCATGACCAACAAAGCCGGCACTGACCTTCTGAAGAAACGGTGGTTGATCCGTACCACCGATGAGCGCTTCCATCAAACCTTCCGCGCTCGGGTCTGCACCAACAACCACAATCATGCACGAATAGAAGGAGCAGAGACGAGCCGCTCCAGCTACTATCCACTGCGACTCGTGCAAGCCATCGTCCGCGGATGGCTATCTGAACTTGCTCCACAACGGTACCTCAAGTACCTCTCGGCCTGTCAAGACTTATCTGGCAAGGACGTCATCCTGGATGACGACCATTGGAACCTCAAGCACTACCAGCACAACAGTATCACCTCCATGGACCCAACTCGGCCATCGCATGCATCCCTCACACCATCTCGCGAACCTTGGGAGGCAACTCAATCCCTAGCTCTACCTCCTGGTCATGTTCGCGACGATCTCCATGCTGGAGAACTCCATGCAGATGGTCACCCCGCTAGTGAAGCAATTCTGTCTGTGCCATCAGATGTACCTCAAGATGGTCCAGAACATCGAGCTTGGTCTGCCAAGCTACACCACTTCCACAAGGCCGCTGGGCATCCCACCAACCGCAACCTTGTGCACCTACTTCGAGATGCTCGGCTACCCGAATGGAAGATTCAAATGGCCCGCGACTTCAAGTGTGCGTCGTGTGATGCTCTTCGACCTGGCGGATCCTCTTCCGGAGGTATACCACCGGCATCCACGCATCCGCTGTATCGCGCCTGGCAAGCTATTGGCGTCGACGTGACCGAGTGGGTGATACCCAATAGCAAGCTGAAGCTCAAATTCATGCTGATCATGGACCTGGCCACACGCCTCCGAGCTGTGCATGTCATCAAGTGCTACGATGTCCTCCAAATGCAGAGCGAAAGCTCAGCAGACATCATCAAGGGTCTAGCTGAACGGTGGCTGGCCGACAAACCACGGCCAGAAGTCGTCATCCCTGACAACGGCATCACCCTGGTCTCTCGGGACGTGAGCGACTTCCTGTCCGACATCGGTGTACAACTTGCACCTCCTGCGGAAAAGGAAAGCTGGGCACATGGCCAAGTCGAGTCCGCAATCAAGGACGTCAAGATGACAGCATCAGCTATTCAGCTTGGCTCTCCTTCTCAGGACCCTATCATCACTCTGCACCTGGCCATCGCCGCGCTCAACTCAACCGAGTACGTCAAAGGGTACTCATCCTTCCAGTGGTGCTACGGCAAGGACTACTCCATCACCGATGAGGACGTGAGAACCTTTGCCACACTTCCTGAGTCGCCCGACGACGACTACGCACGTCTAGTCCAGCTGCGTCAGAATGCTGAACAAGTAGCACGCAAAACCCGTGCCCTTCGTGTCCTCTCCAAGCTCAGCAACTCGACTGTGAGACAGCCCATCAGGACCTTCCATCCCATGCAACTTGTGATGGTATGGCGCAAGCAATGGCCATCCCACGTTTACGTTGGCAAGCGAGGCGGTGCCCGAAAATCCGGACGCCCACACTGGATTGGTCCTGGCCGAGTGGTGTTTCATGAGATCCTTCCACACCAACAACCAAGTGACGCCCGAAGGCACATCGTCTGGGTGCTACTGCAGAACCAGCTCCTGCGCTGCTCTGTCCACTCCGTGAGACCTACCACGCCCCTGGAAGAAACCCAGTTCGAGATCAGTGCTAAGGAGGACGTCTCTCGGTGGCGTTCCCTCTCCGACATGCTGCCCAACAAGGAGTTCATCGATCTTGCCGACGATGAACCCGGAGTCAATGAACAAGAGCAGCCTGATCTGCCCGATCTCCCCAACAAGGAGACCATCGACATCCCCAAGAGGCGGATTCGTGTGAAGTCCGCACCACTTCTGGTTCCCCCACGCCCTGCTCATGTACCCTTCATGGCGGACGACCCGGACTACACCCCCGAATCACTTGACAGCTCTATGGGACCATCCATGCCGGAGACCTCGATTGAACCTCAAGCCTTACCACCTGATCTACTTGGCACCTCAAGTCCAAGCGCTGATCCCGCAGCTGAAGATCCCAACAGCTATGAGCCAGACAACAAGAAGCAGCGCACCGACGGCTATGACCTGGGCTGGCTCGAGGAACTACACCAAGTTGAAGGTGATCTCCATCAGCTACTCATCGACTCCCAGGAGGTGATGAAGATCGAGTTTGACGTTGACCTTGACTCCCACCGTAAGGAGAAGGACTTCCTCCGGGACGCCTCGGCCTTCATGGTCAAGAAGATGAGAGACAGCGAGGTTGTGCTCTCCCGTCTCTCTCCTGAACACAGAGAACTCTTCAGCAGAGCCAAGTCCAAGGAACTCAGCAGCTTCATCAAATCTGAGGCTGTTCGCAAGGCCCTGGACGACAAGGAGGTCAGCGAGGCCTTCGACTCTGGCCGCATCATGCGAGCCAGATGGGTTCTCACCTGGAAACCAACACCTCCAGAAGATCTTCAAGAAGCTCAAGCCGAGGCGAAATCCAACGCCAAGTCCACCTACACCAAGGACGGTCAACGCAAAGCAAAAGCACGCATTGTGCTTCTCGGCTATGAACATCCGGACCTTCTTCGGCCTGAGTTCAAGACCTCAAGTCCTGTGCAGTCTGGGTTGGGAAGAAACCTCCTGTACACCATGGCCTGCACTCATGGCTGGGAACTTGAAGGTCTCGATTTGGCCACTGCATTCTTGCAGACGCAGCCCACAGAGGCGGATCAAGATCTGTGGACTCGCGGTGTATCAGAGCTTCGTGAAGCCCTGGATGTTCCAGCAGACGGAGTCATGAAGATCCTCAAGAACATCTACGGTTCAACGACCGCACCAAGGGGACTCTGGCTGGACCTTCACCGGCGCCTGGCCTCCATTGGCGGCAAACCACTCATTGGTGAACGCTGCATCTGGATCTGGCAGTCAGCCACGGAGAAGGACGCCTTCGGCATCCCCCTGGTACTAGGCATCATGGGCGGCCACGTGGACGATTTCCATCGTTGTGGCAATCGCCTCTCGCCTGAGTGGGTTCAGGTCTGCTCCCAGATCGACAAGCTCTACGAGTGGGGCACTGCCAAGCGTGGCAACTACCGGCACGCTGGAACCGACCTGACCTCCATCATCAACAAGGACGGCTCCGTGGAGGTAAAGATCAATCAGCAGTACTACATCGACTCCATCGCCGATGTGAACATCGATCCCGATCGCCTTCGTCAAGAGAATGCGGTCATGAATCCTGAGGAGGTAGCTGCATGCCGCACTACCTGGGGCAGTCTTCAATGGCTGGCCTTGCAGACTCAGCCGCAGCTCTGTGCTAGGTGCAACCTACTTGCATCTGAAATCACGACCAAGCGCCTCATGCAATCGGCGCTGGAACTTCAACAGCTAGTCGGCGAGATTCGCAAGCACGCCTACCAGCTGCACTACAAGAAACCACCTGGAGTCGAGTCATGGCGAGACCTGGTGTTTGTGACCTTCTGCGACCAAGCCCACGCGAATCGCAGCAAGATGGATTGCACCGGCGGCTTGATCTCAGTTGCTACTGGACCTCATGCAAGCGAAGGCAAGGTCACGTACATGGCACCCCTGGCATGGCGAAGCTGGAAGCTGCGCCGCAAGGCCATATCCTCAAATGATGCTGAAGTCCAGGCAATCCTGGATGGCGAGGATCAGAACTTCCGCATCCGCGTGCTCTGGTGCGAAATGAATGGAGCCGGTCACGATCTCACCCCACACGAAGACAGGGTGGAATGGGCTGAACGCATGGCCCGCGGCATCAAAGGCATTCTGGCCACCGACAGCAAGGGCGGCTACGATGCGGTGATCTACAACGAGTCACCAATGCTTGGGTTGAGCAACGCAAGAGCCGCGCTTCAAGCTCTTCAACTTCGGGAGCATCTCACCCGAACCGGAGCTGAACTTCGTTGGGTGGCCAGCGACTATGATCTCGGCGACGCCTTGACCAAGAAGAAAGCTGAGTGTCGCCTGGGTCTCACCAAGTTTCTTCAAACAGGCCTGTGGAGTGTTGCATACGACAACACCTTCACTTCAGCTCGCAAGAGCCACGGCCAAGGGCGTTCTGCCATTAAGGACGTGACGGCACATCAGCAACGGGATCAGCAGTTGAGAAAGGTTTTTGGCCCATGCGATTCCTTCGGTTGTGACATGTCAACTGTTGATCCACTGCTGCCACCATGGCCCTAGACAGAGGGGCCCCTTTGTCCGCTCGACACCGAGCCACGGTTGCGACCGCGCCAGTGGGCGCGTGGACATTCGATCTCAGCGCAAAGGTGCGCTTTGGCTGCTGCGAGCCTCCTTGACCCCCGGTCATTGCACATTCCCCATTGTTCTTTTCCGCAAAGCAAAGCTATTTGGGGGTGTTCCAGCTGGACCCAGTCATACCATACCAAACCAAAGCAAAGCAAAGCGGGGAGCATTGAGCCCTCCGAAAGCTCAACTTTCCGCGGGGGGATCTGAAAACGGGGCCCCACCCTTCTTTTCCCCAATTCGGGCAGCGGGGGGCGCCAATTTCCGCTCCCGGCTCCCGGCTGGTTCCCGGCTGGTTCCCGCTCCCAGGCGCGGGTTGCCCGAGAGCCTCCTGCGGCGTCTGCTGCTGGTGCCCCTGTCCGAGCTCTGGCACCAGGCCCTGGAGCCGACTTCCGTGGACCTGGTGCTGACGGAGCGGAAGGGCGGAAGGGGGTGGGCGCGGATCCGTGGATCCGCGGATCCGGGGTTGGAGACATGGAGCCCCCAACCAAAAGCCAGGCGCGAGAGGTGTTGCCGGTTTTTCGGGGAGGCGAGGGAGACAAGATAGTACATTTTGAGGGTTTTGAGGTGCCGTGATGCTTCCCTTCCACTGCGGAAGTTCCCAGAAGCCTCTCCCAAAAGCAACGTTTTTTTTTCCGAAAGGGGCTGAACTGCTCGGCGGGAGGGGGTCTGATTGGAGAATTCTTTTTTGGGCCCAACTGTCCCCCAAAGAAACGCAAAAAAACCAAAAACACCACCCTCGCCGCCATGAGCGGGACCCAGCTGTAGGAATGACTCGAGCCCCTACCAAAGGAGGCTTGAAAAGAATGGCCTTCCTAGCCAAACGGTTTTCTTCGTTGTGCAAATACCGCATGCAAGATGTCGGTAGCATGATTGAACGCTGGAGGTTTTAAGCAGGTTCGCACGCTTCTTGGTCGATTGCCTCGGCCCTCATGCAGCCGTGAGAAACTGGTCGACTGCAGACGAGAAACTGGAAGACTCGACTGCCCGCAATATGCAGGAGACATCATTGAGCAACGAGTGTTTACGCTTCAAAACTGGGACGGTGAGCACGCAATATGCCTCCACCCGGAGAATCCAGACCGCGTGAGCGCGCTGTGATCCAACATGGACTGCTGATGCTGACGTCGAGCTCGTTTCGTTGCCAAAATCCGGACATGCCGGATGCAGCAGCGCGACCTGCTCCGGCTGTATACCACACGGCGCAGAATGAGCGTCAGATGAGATACTGCAAGCTTTTGCTACCCCATAGGCTCCTAAAAAAAGCTCAAGCCGCTGAGGCACGTGCTGATACCTGTCTGATGGTCTGAGGTAGGTGGATTGCTCCCGCACGTCTGGCCTTCGCACTCAAAGCAAAAAGAGATGGTCAGATGGAAAAGACGTGTTAACTCTGCAAAGGTCGAAGAGCCCTTGCCCCGGGCCACAGATTTCCGGCCTTGCCCAGGGCCCAGTAACTACTTCTAGGTCCCCCAGTAGTGCCCTTTGACCAACTTTTTTGGGGGGTTCCCCTACTAAAATAGACTACAGAAAAAGGGTACCCTTATTCGAACCTCTCGACTGGAGGACCTAGACTTACTGAGCACCCTGCCCCTTACTGAGCACCCTGCCCCTTTCGCCCCTTTCAGCAGCAAACATGGCTCATCGCGAGGAGGGCGTGGAGCTCTTTGAGAAGGAGGGCCACTTTTGGCGCTTCCAAGGCAGCCTTCAGACGCGAGCAAAATGGGCGATGAGTGGCCTCATGTCCCCAAACGGAAGCCAAAAGGGGCTGGAGAATTCAATGCTTTTTCTCTGACCTGCGTTTTTTTTCCAGACCTTCTATTGAATTTGATGATGTTTTCCAGAGCTTCTATTGAGCACCCGGCTGTTGGCCCCAAAGGTTGCTGAGCCAGTATTCGGAAAACTGATTTACTGTCTTGTGATGGATCCAAGACAAAGAGGATCTAAGGATGTTCAAACAGATGTTGCAAAAGACTAGCTTCAGATGCTGATGCCGTTGGGCTCGGGTGCTGAGTGCATATTTAAGTGATGTCATAGCCCGCGGGTCGGGGTTTCTGCCAAAAAGTAGCTGCCACACAAACTCTTCAAAGGGCGCCCCAAACAAATGGAGGTTGGAAGAACCACCTGAGTAACGGACAGATCAATGAAAGCGGCTGGCGTGATGCCGCTTTCCCTTCAAGTCCGCTCAAAGACGGTTCCCTGGGTTCGACACGGTCCTTTACTCAGGTGGTTCTTCCAACCGCCGTTGTTCCGGTCACATGCTTCTTTCTAGAAGTTGTGTTCAAGTGGAAACATGAACGTACTTCTGTTTTTATGCTTGTGTGTGAGCAAAATATTTGTGTATGCGTGCGCGTGCGTGTGCTACAAGATGTATTCGGCCCTTTGTGCATGGCAGCGCACCCAGAAAGGGCGGTGTCCTTCATCGCTCTTCCTTTCTTTCTTTCTTTCTTTCTTTCTTTCTTTCTTTCTTTCTTTCTTTCTTTCTTTCTTTCTTTCTTTCTTTTTTTCTTTGTCTCTTTCTTTTTTTCTTTGTCTCTTTCTCTCTCTCTCTCTCTACAAGATGTGTGCACATGTAGATGTAAATATAAATGCACACATATTTGCATGCTGTCACACACATATATATATATATATGTTTACATATGGCACACACACTCACACAAGTCCAGTGAAACCTCATAGCGCTCATCCAAGCGGCGACAAAGCCATCGACTCCCGACTGGTCCTCTGCAGGCGCCGCCTGGCGGGGCATGTCCTCGGCGCTGGCGGATCGTGGGCAGATCTGCGGCTTGGGGCCGGCGCCCAACTTGCCAGCAGGAGAGATGGGGGTGGGGGGTGGGTGGGGGTGGGGGGTTGGGGTGGGTGGGGGGGGGGGTGGGTGGTGGTGGGTGGGGTGGGTGGGGGGGGGTGGGGGTGGGTGGTGGTGGGTGGGGGTGGGTTGGGGGGGGGGTGGGCGGTGGGTGGGGCTGCATTCTTTTCCAATGTTTGCTGCTCATAGCAACGAAACTACCATGCATGGCGGTAACCAAGGGCCATGGCTTACATGAATCACTCCAGGGCTGTCACCATCGGTGCATCGGTGCATTGTCAAAGTCTGCTTTCCCCGGGATTTCCCGGGGCGACTTGGTGCTCGTGCGGAAACCAAAATGTTAGTGGCTAACTGTGCGTGACGATATCTATGATCTCGTGATAGCAACCGCAGTCATTGTGCCCATGTGCCCATGAAGAGGGGTTCTAGAGTTTTGGTCCAACAAAGGGGATGCATAAGAATAGCTGACCCCCATGTTATGGTGCCTATTGCTGATTGAAACCTGCTACCTCAGTTATGCCTGTGCAACAAGGCTCTATTTTTGCCCGTGTTCCTGCCCACGACAGGCTTAGCAACAAGCCGCATGCCAACCATACAGGAACATGTCTACAGCAGCTTATTTTGCACTCATGACTCATGACATTCCATCTTGTGCAAATCCGCTATCTTGGTGCTGGATTTGGTGCATGTGTCAGCCCCTTGAACACATTTTGGCTCGAACTTGCTGGCCTCACCGAGACACTCCGTGGTTCTTACAGCTAAAGGCCACTGCACCGGGCGGAGGGTCAAGCACCAGCATCTGAAGGCTACTCCACGGCCAGGGGTTCTTTCGGACTTTGCTCTCGTTTCTTCTTTCTGTTCTGCTTTTAGGGGGGGGGGGAACACCAGCCCTAAGAATCCATTTGGCTTCATCTCAGGATCGAGATGACCACACCAGTTTTCATCTAGGGGTTCAAGGGGAAGGATACACTGGAGCAGTATGTACTGGGTCTCCATGAGCCTTACGACACGGGTTGTGCCCCCGTCATTTTGGGTGACCAACCTTTTTTTAATTTGGGGAAGGAGCTCCAGGCATTTGACCATTCGGACCGCCGACTGGCGGTGCTTGGCGCAGATGCGCGCTGGCTGGCTGAAACCACAGCTCAGTCCGAGTGTCTTCCTTGTTGGGACCAAGGATTTTGAGTTCAGGATTTGGGTATGTGTCAAAAGAGGGGGCTTATGGATTGGGAAAGCTTTTCCGAGCAAAGCGCTGCAGGATTTGCCCTGGAGTTCGGCGAGGGATTCTGGTGCTTTGGCTGGACCGCGCGGGAGCGGAAAGAACCCTGGCAAGCAGCCAGTTTCCTTGACAGGCGACGAAAAAAAACGAAGCACGCAAAACCATGTCGGGATGTGAAGCTTAAGAGGAACCACCTCAAAAGTGGACATGAATGCCCTGGATAATGTTCACCAAAGGGTCACCCATAAAAAATCACACAATGCATCGGCGTGTGTTTGTTTGGTGGTACCTTTTATTTCAACGGGACACCGAAGGCCATTTGAGGGGTTGGAGACACACCCACAGAGGCTGCGGCTCTTTTTTCAGGGCAGCCCTTGTGTCTTTCTCAAGGGACACCAAAAAGGAAAACATTTCTTTTGGTTCAAGGGAAGCCACATGTTTCATTCCACCCCTCTTTCTTGGGTGGAAAACGGCCGCCCTTTTAATGGGGGTGTAATTATTCTGGACTTCAGCCTCTTCTTTGTTGGGGGGGGAGAGAAAAAATCATCCAGCATGTAACCCTTTTTTCTAAGTGGCAGGAAGGGTCAAAAGAGGGCACGTCGAAGCCGTCCCTTCAAACAGGGCTCCTTAAAAGATCTCCATTCTGCAGTTCCATTTGAACCCTGTTGCTTTTTCAACACCTAAATCAAGGGATGTACCACCATTTACAAGTTGCACTGTTCAGGTGGTTTTTCATTTTAAGGATCCCTGTAGCGCCAATCCACCCCCCAAGCGATCCAAGCGCCCATCGCTTCGCCCGAAAGTTCGAGGCCGCGGCCGCCTCGGCGCCCTTCGGGGCCGCCGCAGCCTTTGCGGCGAAGACTTTGCGCCGCGCCATGGGTTTGGGGCCCCAAGGCTCGGGCGGGGGAAGCCGGTGGCTTTGGCTTTGCTTTTGGGTTTTTGGTTGTTTTCTTTGGGGGGGTTGTTTTCTTTCTTTCTTCTTTTTGGGGGGGGAGGCCTTGGCTGGTTGAATCTTCAAGAAGGGAGGCTCTAAGAGGAAAAGGGCGGCCCGGTTGCTTTTCAAGCGAAACCAGAAGGAGAGCCCTAAAACAACACACACACACACACACCCACAGACGCAAGGGGCTCTGCCAAGTCTTTGCCAGGCCGCAGGCAACAGCCCGTACACCGCAATTGTTTTGGCCCGGACAAGACTTGAAAGCAATCGCCACGTAAGGGCGGAAAGTTGGTTGTCTTTTTGCATTTGTCTCCCTGCAAAGCGAACTGTCGGAATTCGTTCGGATGCTATTTAAGACGAGACTCTGAATCTACAGGTTCTTGCATGTCAGGTTCGTGTTTGGCAACTTGAAAGCACCCAGAGGAACCTTCCTACGCCATGAAGGTGGATGTTCACTTGCCCAACGGAGATGGATACTCCGTAGCAGTCTCACCAGAGACGCCCATCAGCTATGTGAAGGCTGCAGCGCAGCAGCATTTCCAGCGCCGCTTGGCACTCACTGCGAAAGGCCGACAGCTCGATTTGACGGCTACGTTGAGTGAGACTGGCTTGCGAGATGGGGATGTGGTGGATGCGGTTGTGAACCTTGGCAAACTGGCTGCCAATGCGAAGGCATTCGCTTGGCATGGCCAGGGGGGCAAGGTTGTCACCTGGGGTGATCCAAACTGGGGCGGAGACAGCAGCCAGGTGCAAGACCAGTTGAGGGACGTCCAGCACGTCCAAACAACTCAGGGCGCTTTTGCTGCCATTCTCGAATCTGGAGCTGTAGTGACCTGGGGTCATGCAGGATACGGCGGAGACAGCAGCCAGGTGCAAGATAAGCTGAGGAACGTCAAGCACGTCCAAGCAACTCACCATGCTTTTGCTGCCGTTCTTGAATCTGGGGATGTTGTGACCTGGGGCAATCCTGGCTTTGGCGGGGACAGCACTGGGGTGCAAACACAGCTGAGGAACGTCCAGCACATCCAAGCGACTTGTTATGCTTTTGCTGCCATTCTTGAATCTGGGGCAGTTGTGACCTGGGGGCACGCCATGTTAGGCGGAGACTGCAGCCTGGTGCAAGGGCAGCTGAGGAACGTGCGGAACATCCAAGCAGCTGACATGGCTTTTGCTGCCATTCTTGAATCTGGGGCTGTTGTGACCTGGGGGCACGCAGAGAAAGGCGGGGACAGCAGCCTGGTGCAAGAGCAGCTGAGGAACGTGCAGCACATCCAAGCAACCGTCGGTGCTTTTGCTGCCATCCTTGAATCTGGGGCTGTTGTGACCTGGGGGGACGCAGACAATGGCGCGGACAGCAGCCTGGTGCAAGAGCAGCTGAGGAACGTCCAGCACATCCAAGCAACAGGCGGTGCTTTTGCTGCCATCCTTGAATCTGGGGCTGTTGTGACCTGGGGAGACGAGGACTTTGGCGGGGACAGCAGCCTGGTGCAAGAGCAGCTGAGGAACGTCCAGCACATCCAAGCAACAGGCGGTGCTTTTGCTGCCATCCTTGAATCTGGGGCTGTTGTGACCTGGGGGCACGCAGAGATTGGCGGCGACAGCAGCCTGGTGCAAGGGCAGCTGAGGAATGTCCAGCACATTCAAGCAGCCCGCAGGAATGCTTTTGCTGCCATTCTTGAATCTGGGGCTGTTGTGACCTGGGGCAATCCTGGCTTTGGCGGGGACAGCACTGGGGTGCAAACACAGCTGAGGAACGTCCGGAACATCCATGCAACTGAGGCTGCTTTTGCTGCCATTCTTGCATCGGGGGCTGTTGTGACTTGGGGTTCATCATATGCTGGAGACAGCAGCCAGGTACAAGAGCAGCTGAGTTTGAATCTGGGGCTGTTTGGGCCTGCCACAGATCTGAATTTCATCAAGCTCCCGAAGCGCAGATCGGTTGCATCATTTGAAGATGGCGAGTGAGAACTTGGGCAAGCACTATGCCGAGTACAGAGCAGCACGACGGCCAATTTTGACGCAGCGAGTTGATTGCGGCGAGCACAAACAAGCATGGAAGAGAGCTAAAATGTTTTACCCCGGCCCCGATGAGCGAAAAGTTCTGGGTGATTCATATAGGGGTGTCCCCTTCACCGGGGGCTCATCACTTTAGGCCGCAGTTTCCTCTTAATCCGGGGTCAGCATTGGCAATGCCTTGAAGCACTTATCGCTTTCCACGAGGTCTGTGGTGGGAAAACACACCACTCACTCCTGGCCGGCTGCCAAAAAACAAGATGGCTGATTGCGAGGGAACATCGGCACTGTCCAGAGTCGGGAGCCTGGTCTTTCTTTCTTTCTCAGCCCTGTGGGTTTGTCTCATATTTTGAGCTCCCATTGCTAGTTTCCCTCGGTTTCCCTCTCAAGTCGCCCGGAAAAAAAAAACGGTATTCCGAGACAGACCCAAGGTCTCGCCGACCCGCCGGAGCCGGTCTTGCTCACGCTGGTGGCGCGCTATGCGCCGGGGGGTCCCAGCAATACGAGCAACTGACCGGCAAAGTGGTACTGTGGATGGACGAAATCCATTTCGCATTCCAGAAACCCTGAAATGACTCCCCAAATATCAGCCAAGAATGGTTTCCAAGGGTTTCAAATTGGTGCGAACGGATTTCGTCCACATGGGCCGGAGGTTTGTTTCATGTATCATGAGGCCTGTGGAGGGAGCCCAAAGGCCCAAGGCCTCGCGAACGAACCAAGCCTAGGGACCCCAAAGCTTGCTGGGAGGAGAATGGTACATGCCAGTGATGGCACGGACACCAACCGAAATCGAAGATCCCACCCCGCCAACATGTAACTCAGTTGCGCAAAGCCGACCTTTCAACCTTTTGGTTTTCCAATTTTGGTCTATCTTTAGTAAAGGCCCCAAAAGGTTAACCTTTTAGTTCCAGGTCCTTTGGGCAACTTGGGCATAGGTGTCCTTGTTTGGTTTGGTTTGGTGAAATGACGCGCCCTGGGTTACATGGTTGTTCAATCATCTACCAGGGCAATCCATGTTCCAAAAAGGACACCTATGGTTTCGGGGGTCTGCATGTCCAAACTGGTTCATTTTGCCGGTACAGGTCATGGGAGGCTTTGGGGGAACGACCGTTCGACATTCAACAAATTAGTGTCTGGATCAGTACCAACTCGATTGCCCAACAAAACTTGAATTACAGCTCTCTGGTTTTAACGGTACCCTTTGTTTGGTGGTTTCAAAAAGAACCCCCAGTCAGCGAAGCAAACAACGCCCATTTTGCAACACGCACCCTGAAAAACATGGCTGGCCTTTGGTTTGACCTCAGCCTCTGGGGCCTTTTTGGAAACAGATGGCTTTTCCACGAAACGTCGGTAGACCTTGTCACGAAGATAAACCCTGTAGAAAATGGCCTTTTTCGAGGTACAGCAACGCAAAGCTGGCCGCCGGCTGTTCAGATGGAGGCCGGAGCCTCGACTACACAGGCTCCTGCTATGTGAGGTGCATTGGGCGTGTTGGGCATTTTGATTTGCCGGTGTTTTGAGACGAAACTGAGCTGAAGCCAATTTGAACACTGAACATTCTACAAGTTTGGTTCGAAGCGTGTCGGTGCATTTCTACAGGCCTACCATGTCTTTCCACCATTCAAGAGGCATAATTGACTTCCTGCACATGTTGATATATATATATATATATATATGTATATATATAATACACAATTTCCAGCACATATGTTTTCACGCTGCAAATGGGAAGCTTGGTCTCATGACCTCCCCAAACTCTTAATTCCGACCCCCACATCCTGATCCAACTGTGGATACCAATTGTTGCACTTTTCTGGGTTTTGTTAGGAAACCTCCCGAGGGAATCCATAGAGCATCAATCACACACCCCAGACCTTCCCCCGGTGATCCTGTCTTTTTGGGTTTCTGGGCAAGAGGTGAGTCCAACACATACTGGGCCAACCTTTCTATTGTTTCTACTATCCCCGATTTGGACCCACAACGGTTTTGCTTTTGGTTTCCCTTTCAATCCAAGCAACCAGGGGTACCAACTCCAAAAAGGACGAGCCTTCAGAAAGGCCATGGGGCATAACCTGGTGAATGAACGTCCATTTGCCACCTGTTTTGATGTTCACCAGGGGTGTTCAGGGTTTTGACCCAAACGACCACCCGTGAGGCATCCAATCACCCCTCCCCCCATAGGCCCGGACCTCCGTGCGCTGGGGGACGGTCTGGACGCCGCCCAGTCCGCGCTGCGCAGCCGCGCGAAGGCGTGGCTTGGGGCGCCATCCGCGTGGGAAGGTTCCCACGGGGGTGAGATGCTTGGGGCGTCGCAGGGAGTTTCAAAGCGGGTTTTAAGGGGGGGCGGGGGAACGTTACCAGGAATCACCAAAATAGGGGGATGGGTCAAAATTACACCACCAGGATATGGACCGCAGGTAGTCCATGTTTCCATATTCCATTTGGGGTACCTATTCTTGACCCACACCCGTATTAATTACTTGGCGGGCGGAGCCACATATTCAAGCCTGCCGCTTGGCGGTTGGATGCGGCAAGTGCCGGCCTCCTGCTTTTTGGCTCCGGAAGTCAGCGGGCCCGTCCAGTGAGCCCACCTGAAGCGGTCCTTGTAACAAGTAGCGACTAATTTCGCGATTGTGAATGGACGAACTCAACTTCACACCAGTTGAGATGGATGAACCTCCACTGGGATAAACCAGCGTCAAACCACCTACTAGGCGCAGTTTGTCCATCCACAGCACGGCCGCGCTGTGGTTTTGACAACTTATCCTTTGCCATATGTGCAGTCTGGAAATGAGTGAAAGCAGGAATTGAGCAGGCTTGCTCTGAAAGCAAACCGTGGAGTTGTGCCCGTGCTTTTTTTTTGTTTATGCAGGTATATAGGAAAGGTGATGTCTGAACTAACATCACATATCAACACTTCAAACTGCCCTCCTATCCACCTTGACATGCACCAGAAAAGCGGTCCCTTTTAAAGGAGAATCGTCCAAACCAGGAACCCGAAACATGTGTTTCCAATGCGGACAGGGGGGGGGGGGGTGGGGGTAAGTGAGATCACCTAGCTGGTGCCCCAACTGGTTTCCCAGGGCTCCTTCAAAGATACATTTTGCAACCATGTGAATCATGGCTTTTTCCGCCAGAATAATCCCTTCCCCCTAATAATAAACGACGCCCCCCCCTCCCCCCCCTAAAAAAATACTTCCGAAACACATATTTATTATTAGGGAGACCTTTATTAATAGGGGGAACGGATTAATGGGAACCCACCATTTACAAGGCTAATAATGGTAAGGATCCCTCGGCTCCCGCCTGGTTTTCGCTCGGCTTCCCGAGACCACCGCGACTCGCTTCGCAGGTGGCCAAAGATATGGTCTTGGCCGTGGCCCCAGTCCGGGCTCGGTAGCCCGGCGAAGCGAAGCGTCGGAAACGCCCGAGGCGTTGGACGGCTCCGTGTCTTTCCTCCAACCTCTGTGGACCATCCACGGATTCGGGGAAGGAACACGAGCTCAGACATGAAAGCCCTGACTTTGAGGATGTTTCTTATTTCCGGCCTGGGAGTTGTAGTAATTTCCAAAGCATGGTCAACAGACCCATTTGCTTGGGATTGGCAGGGATTGTCGTCAACCGCTAGGGGTGTAGACCACCAACTTCAAGGAGGAGGCCACGACGACACTTGAGTTATGTGAATTTGCGCGGATCTCTCCATCAGTATCACGTGGCTCGGGTGTGTGTTCATTATGTAAGTAGGACTTAGGACAGAGTTGAAGCATTGGGCCAGACATGATCCTGCAACATTTTGGTCCAAACCACATCATATCAAACAGCAAAACACGCATCAGGGCGACCTGTGAGCCAACAATGCCCAACAAACATCGGGTCCCCAAACCCCCCCACCCCCCCACGCCCCCCGCATGCCCGCCCTACTGTCAGCCGTCAGCCGTCAGGCGGTGGCCGGCGAGATGGCCACGCTGGACTCCGTCCCACTCCCTTCGCTGTGTCCGCAGCTGAGTGCGCCTAGCGCCTTGTGGGTGACGGGGAAGAGCGTTTTTCAGCTTGTGATGCTGCAATGGCAGGTGTGCAGATTTTTGTTTTACTCAAGTGCAGAGGCTCACGGGCCATAAGGCCATAAGCCCATAGGCGGGCCACAGGCTCTCTCTCTCTCTCTCTCTCTCTCTCTCTCTCTCTCTCTCTCTCTCTCTCTCTCTCTCTCTCTCTCTCTCTCTCTCTCTCTCTCTCTCTCTCTCTCTCTCTCTCTCTCTCTCTCTCTCTCTCTCTCTCTCTCTCTCTCTCTCTCTCTCTCTCTCTCTCTCTCTCTCTCTCTCTCTCTCTCTCTCTCTCTGAGCGCCGCTGTGGGGGTGGGCCATCGCATGACCAGCCACTCATGGGGCAAGGCTTTCAAAGGGGTTTCTGAAACTAGCCGAGCCAAGCCAAGTCACTCCGGCTGGCTAGCTGTGCGCAGGTCCCAAGTCTAGCGCTCGCATTTGGTATGAAGACCTAGAGCAATGCTCAATCGGCACGAGTTTGTGCTCCAGAGCGGGAAGAGCATGGGAAAAGACCTCCATGGAATCTGCGGTCAGCAAAGTTGGGAACGGACATAATTCCATTTTGATAACCCGACTTCTCACTATCCTCACTATCAGTTGAACGGCATGAAACACCCAGGGCGGCCCTGGCAAGCAAGCGCAGCCCGCGCGAAGTGAGGCTCGGTGCAGCTGCCTGAGGCAGGAAGCCACGATTTTGGGGTGGGGGTTGATGAGAGGGCGATTCAGTTGAAAGCTTCGGCCAAACTAGCAAGACGGGGGGTGGTCAAACTGGAAAGACGGGGAAAGGGTCAAACCATCCACGGAGGGCAGGGAGAGCCTAGTCCATTGTGAGTCCGCACTCTAGGTGTGCGTGGTACCATGGATCATTGACGTGTTGGTTTGTTTTTCTCTTTTTTCTTCTTTTTCGACCACTGAGATTAAAAAATAGCATCAATCACTCCATGAAGTTCCAATCTCGGCTGCTGGAAGTGAAGGGTCCAACTCGATTCATGAGGGCACTGAAGGAAGCAATCATCCCATCAATACTTTCCTGGAATACCCCGAGAAACAAAATTTCTCGCAGAGTTGGCAGGCCCCGGAAAGTCTTGGACCACAGCAAGCATGGGTTTGGCGTGGCAGCGAATGAAACAGCAAGACAGCAATCTGCCCAACTTGCCATGTGAGAAGGGTAACCGGTAACCCTTGGGTGCGTCAACACCTAATCACGCAGGCCAGAAACTCATCAAATGCCTTGTTGAAGGCTTCCGTATCAGTCCTTCTATGTGACACTCTTTGTGACGCGGGGCGCACACAGGCTTTCTTGTTGCGGCCACTTCTCCGCAAGAGACCGGCGATAGTCAACACATCTTTCCCAGGATGACCAAGATGACCTCTCACAGTAGGCTAGAGCCAACGGTGCGCGCACTGCAGATGGTAGCGAACCATGGTGGCAAGCAACGGCTCAGAAACCATTGGCAGAAGCCCCCTTTCTAGGTTGGCACATGATGCTCACTACCGCTTGTCCCATGGACAGACCGTAGATCAAACTATAGTACAGGCAACTCAGCCAGCGCTGCATTGCTTGGTCTGGCTGCCTTGGATTTCAGGACTATGCAATACCCTGCCGTGTGCCGAAATTGGAGATCACACTGAGGCTGTGTGAACCGGAAATCGTCACAAAACCCACGCTCTTCGTAAACTAAATCGTGTTGATCACACAAGGATTGAAGATGTCCGGATGCGATCATAAATTATACAGGTTTTTGGGACTTCTGGATGAACTGTAGCTTGCCCAGAATGATTCGCTTTTCTTGCCTTGATTTTCCCACCTTGGCTTTCAGGACACAGAGGACCCGCCGCTTTTGGGGGGCTCCGACTCAATGCCTACCTTCAAATCCCCAGGCGCCGCAGCTGGTGGAGGAGACCTGCGCGGGCCTCGGAGGCAGGGGCCTGGCACTTGCATTGGAAAGCGAAAGGAGAGCTACCCTCCGACCATGGAAGTTGGCAAACCCCTTTCCAAGAAAGTCGTCTGTCAGGGCTTTGTAAGCCCTTCCATGTTAGTCGGGAGGGTAAGTACTGTTTCGAGGTTCCCCGAATTTGGACACCCAAGACCCCTGGAATTTGCTTCGTTGGACGGGTTCTTGCGGAAAGCACCCGCCCCCCCTCTGGCACTATTCCTGAACACCTGCCAGCTCCGCAGTTTTTCTTTTTTGTGTGTGAAACCGCTCCGGACGGGCTTGCAGAAAGTCACCGAGCGGCATTTGAATCATTTGAACAGAAGCAAAAGAGCACACAAGAGGAGACAACAAGCCCCCCCCCCCACCCACCCGCCCTTCCCCGCCACCGGATGTTGGCCCTTCGCCCCTTTTTCGCCTTAGGGACAAGTGTGCCACTGCTGGGCTTTGGCACCCACGAGCTCTCCGGGCGGCTGGGTGGCAAGAGGCGAAGTGGCGTCCAAGGCATTTGCTGAGCTACTGTGGATGGTTGTGAAATCCATTTCGCACCACCTAAGAAACCATGAGAAACCACTGGTTGTTGGTATTTATCAGGGAATCTGACCATTCCAGGCTTCTTGGGTGGTGCGAAATGGATTTCGGCCGTCCACAGTATGATCACGGGCGGGGGGGGGCCTTCAATTTGGAGCTCCAGAAGTGTCATTTTTCGTGGAGCCCACGAGTTGAATGATTTTTTGAAGGGGAAATCCAGCGACCCCTGTCCAAACCTGGGTAGATGAAGGCTACACGTGCAACCGCACATAGGCCCTTGAAGTTCTTTGCATGCCCTTTTTAAGGCCAGATTTTGATTGACACTGGTGAGATTTGCTCACAGAAATTCATTTCAGGGCTTAAAGAGTCAAGTTGTTCAAGGCCCCGACCCCAATCCCGTTCTTTGAGCCATGTAGGAAACAAAACGCTGTGGGGGCAATCACGATCCAATGTGTATCAGAAGAAAATATGTTCAGTGCACTCTATCTGGGCCCAGCATCCAGCATGCATAAGAGCTTGTTGCATGTCTTGGGAATTCTGGCGGACGCGGAATGCGACCATATTGTCTGGGCCAACATGCGGTAACATCGTCTCCTACCTCACACTAACGTGGGAGGAAACATGCTATGTCGATGGGAGGACTGCTAAAGTAATGATTTCAGAAAATATTTGAAGCCTAGATTTAGACCAAGTTAGTCGTCGCAGTCGTCATCTCCCAAGGGACGAGTGCTATGCCGCAGTGCGCTCTGCACTGGAGGCACCGCCGGTGGTGCTCAGAAGAGGATGGAGGATGGTCAAAAATGAGGCAAGTATTGGGGTGTCCACTGATGGTCATAAGTGGCTGAATCATTGCGCAGATTGCTCTTCATGAGATGACTTGGCTTAGTGCCCCAAAACCAAGTTCTATTGTCTTAGGCCGTAGTGCGAGGTTCTTTTCAGGTCTTGCTTCATTCTGATTGGCTGGTTGAAGTCTGTTTGGTTGGGTGATTTTGTGCCTTGAGAAAGGCCCCCAGAGTTGCAGGAAGCCGGTTCATTGACATGCTCGTGGAAATGATTCTGATGTGGGCTGTTCAGGATCGCAATCTGTAATGCTTCCTGGTCTTAGAATTCCTCCTGTTTGTCCCTGAGTTGATTATTTGGTCAGCCGGTTTGAACAGCCCGAGCGGGTGATTGTCAACCACTCAGGGCTTCCAGCGGTGCAAAGTGGATTTGGCCCATCCCAGGTGCAAAAGTTGGCCGTGGGTTGCTTATACGGTGGGTAAACCCCAAGTGACCGCCCCCCCCCCCCAGTGGTGCTCTTTGACCCTTTTGGGGGGAGGGTTCCCCCTACTAAAATAGACTGCACAAAAAATGTACCATCATTCTAACCTTTCTACTGGAGGACCTAGTCTATATACGTCCCTTCATAGCTTCATAGGCAAATGGCCATGGGTCAAAGCCCGTACCCCCATAGACTAATGGGTGGTGCACCTACCCCAAAATGGGATCCCATTGGTTTTGACCCACAGCCAAATGGTGCTGTGTTGCGCAGGCGGTTGCACTTCCCGTTGGCTTGCAGGCGGGCGTGCGGCACATCGACTCTGCCGGGAGGCCCTGCTGTCAGTGGGAGTTGTCAACGAGAATGCTCCCATTTGGGTCTCAGGGTATCTACAGTGACCCTTTGTTGGTGGTTTTAAAGGGACACCCAAAGAAGAACCGCCCTTTTTGGGGGTCTCCGACACAACACACACCCTTTTGTTGGGCTGTGGGAAAAAAATCGGTACCCAAAACAGAACCCTGGATTGAAACATGGACTGAATCTGCGGTCTTTTGATGGTTTAGTTCTGACCCATACCCCTTTGGATCCATGACCATCCCAAGGACAAGAAGTTCACAACCAAGTACAAGTCCATGACGATCCCAAGCAACCCCAAGTCAATAGTCATTTGAGCGCCTTTTCAGCTTGGTTTAGAAGGGAAACCAAAAGGACCGCCCTGATTGGCGAACATGGGGGATGGCACGGGGTTGATGCTCACCACCTGTTTTCCGACCTCATGAAATACATCCCCAAGTCACCCCGGATATATCGCTAACCATCAAGCATAGGGCTGGAAGACCAAGCCACAAGCAAAGGCTCGCCGGGCATCCCAGGCAAAGCTCGGTGCGAGAGACGGGAATGAGACATTTGTTCGTTCCTTGGCCACCAGCGGTTTCCTGAAAATTCTCTTGGAATCCAACCAAAAAAGAACATCCAACTGGCGGTTTCCAGATTTTGGGGGAGTCTTTAAACCATCCAACTGGTGGTTTCCCTTTTTCGGGGGAGTCTTTAAACCATCCAGCTGGCGGTTTCCCCCTTTATTTTTCCGGGCACCAAAGCCCAAGGGTTCCTCCCACCTCGCCCGAGGCCGAGGGCTACGGCAACGCCTTGGAGGTGGCCAGGGCCATGCGGCACAGCCAGGCGCCGTTTGGTCGGCTCGGCTCGGTCGGCGCCCGAGCGCCTGGGTGGATGATCCGGGTAAGGTACAATCCCAACCAGGCTATGGGTTCGGAACTCCGCCTTCTTAGTCCTTTACATGGTTCTGGACCCTTCTAATTCCGGGTTTTGATTGTGACTCACCCCTTTCCCCCCTTTTTTTGGGTGGCTGCCCGAACCAAAAATGGTCTTCCTCAAAAAGGGTTCCATTTTTTCTCCAGGGTCACTGAGCTCAGGTATTTGGCCCTGCTCGGTTCCGTTGAGTCGGTCTTCCCGTGGTTTTCTTAGGGGAAGCTAAGGAGGAAAGCCGTCGCCGTCCAATTTTTGGAGAGGGTATCCCTTTTTTTTTAGGTGGTTTCAAGTGGGACACCAAGCGGACCTTACCCCCGTTTGGGGGGGGGGTTGGGGGGAGGAGGGGGGAGGGGGAGAGGGGGAGAGGGGGAGAGGGGAGAGGGGGGAGGGGGAGAGGGGGAGAGGGGGAGAGGGGGAGAGGGGGAGAGGGGGAGAGGGGGAGAGGGGGAGAGGGGGGAGAGGGGGAGAGGGGGGAGAGGGGGAGAGGGGGAGAGGGGGGAGAGGGGGAGAGGGGGGAGAGGGGGAGAGGGGGAGAGGGGGAGAGGGGGGAGAGGGGGAGAGGGGGGAGAGGGGGGAGAGGGGGGAGAGGTCCCATGAAGAAAAGACGCACACCTCCCAATCCGTTTCATGGTTAAACATTCATTAGTAGTCGTTGTAATCACTAGTATATTTTCATGGGTTATCCTTTTCATTCTAGAAATTGTTGATGTTGCAATCATTCACTGCTAAATTGGTATTATTCATTCATCAGGACCTTTTTATGTTTCCAAAAGGACACTCACGAACAGGAGGCCTGCCTCAAAAGAAAACGGTGGTTTGTTTTTCCCGTACGAATCGAAGCAGCGACAATCTGATCTTATGTCAGCGAGACTTTTCTGCTTCAGCGCCACGGGAGCTCGCTTCACAAGCACATGGGTGAATCACGAATGAGTCCCCTGAAATGGTGGGTGTCCTGAAAGGTGTCCCTAACTTCAAGTCTTCAGGCCGAGAAGCCTCGCTTGCTCGCTTGCAGCTATGTGGAGAGGTCCCAAGGCATGTTCCGCTTGCTTTAAACCTTTGGGATTCTTCTGTCTTTGGGGCGATGCGCGGCGATGCGCAGCGATGCGCGGCGATGCGCGGCGATGCGCGGCGATGCGCGGCGATGCGCGGCTACGTAGCTTGCGCTTGGATGGCTCAACTGCTCCGCACAGCGGAAGCCAAGCGAGCCCCAAAGCGTGTCCGAACATCCGCGAATCCGGTCAGGTGCCGCGCGACCAGATCTTCTTTGCCACCAAGCTCTCGCAGGGGGACCTCTCTGAGGCGAAATCGTGTTTTTCCGGATTCGCGCGCTTCGAAGACGGCGGCCCAAATAAAAGACGAAGACGGAACGCGCGGAATCGCGCGGGGCCTTGGATGTCTGCGGGGTGGTTTTAAGAAAAAAAGGTGGGTGTAAGATGCGGCTGAGTTTGTTTGTCGGAATGTGCTATACTAGGTGACCCAGTAGTGCCATTTACCGTTTCTTTTTTGGGGAAGGTGCCCCTACTAAAATAGACTACAGAGTAAAAATCGGGTACCTTTATTCTAACCTCTCTACTGGAGGACCTAGTACAGGTCTTAGTACAGGTCTGGCCGAGGCAAACAAAACCTTTGGGAGCTGATCTGGGAGAACTGGAACAAGTCTGAAGACATGCGCGGTGCTGAAAGTTGGCGTGGTATGAATTTTATCTAGATATCCTGACATGGTGGGGATATGATGTCCAACCACTGTCAAGGGGTTACCTATAGACAATTGAAACTCGTCGCCAAGTGTTCTCCAGCTTTTTTGCCTTGCCTCAGCCTGACTTTAGGGTCGGATTGCGCCCGCAAGCAGGTCTTGTGATCGATCTGGCTGCGCAAGAGGCAACTCCTTCGATGTCGCTCAGGCTGATGGCTCGCATGAAGACGCAGGATTGTGGTGTTAGGTGCCATGAAGATGCACACTTGCCCCGCATCTGTGCAGTTGTCGGAGGTCGGGGAATCAACTCGATCAGACCTGTTTTACTTGCCGACCTGTTGGCAACAGATCCTGCGAAAAAATCCCGCATCTTCATGCAAGCCATCAGCCTGAACAACATCGAAGGAGTTGCTTTTGCTTTTGGAGGGAGATGCCATGGTTTTGCAGGCTTTGGAGCAATGGTGCAGATGTCGAATTGCTGGTCATGCTTATGACCAGTTCGGCGCTAGATGTTCATGGGCGTGCCATGTTCTTTCAAGCTCAGCCTCTCCCGCCCCAGACAGTTTCCGCGGCAATTACCTTGTACCAACATGCTCCAGACCGTTTCCCTGCAAGTATTGACATGGTGGGAGCCAAACAAATCAAAGTTCCCTTTGCAGGCGCCCTTTTGCTTCTTTTTTTTTTCTTCCTGAAGCGACACATGCTCGGAGCCAGCGAGAGTTGTTCGCCTTTCGCATCAGGCAGACGCCTACAGCGCCCTGCAGGCGGAGCTGGACCGGTTCGGTGGGTACGCAGACCTGTGCTGCCCGGTGTGCGAAAAGCGGGAGAAACTTCAGATCTGAACTTCGTCTGAAAGGATCATAGGGGAGCTCACCCGGTGGGAAGCAAGTTTGCTTTCAAAGACACCACTTTTTGGCTTGGTTTTTCTCGGGACGCCAAAGTGGAGCCGACGTGTCTAAGCAACTCAAAGCATTCAAGGCCCGTAAGTTCCGCGGACGGACGGGGTGGATGTGTATCCTGGGCGAACACAACTGTTCGCGTGCTCGATAATTTTTCGCGTGGAACGAGTGCATTCAAGTTTCCAGGTCCATCATCCTCCTCCTCACCATCACCACCACCATCATCACCACCACCGCCTCACTACCGGCGTTACCACCATCGCGTTAGCCCCACGTTTGCCCCGCTTGGGATGCCACGCGTTTCATTCCCCCTGTTTTGCGCTTCAAACCGTATCACGTTGAAGGGTCTCACCCAAGGCCCAGCATAAAGTGGGCAAGCAGGGAAGCAATATGGTGGCTTTTAGAGTGGTATTGAAAGGAAACCAAAAAGGAGCCCACCAATTTTTGGGTCCTCGAGAAAAGACACCCATATAAACAGAGGGGCATGCAATGTTGACCCCTCATTCATACCCCGCTCAATCAATCCGCCGGGTGCTCCTGGAAGAAAGGACTCCGCACTGGAAGGGAGGCAACGAGTGAGGGGCAAAACAAATCATCGACATGTCCACTTAGCCAAAGGTGGGGGGTTTACTGACCAGAGCGGTTTACTAACCAGGTTCATTCACCAAGGGTTTCGTCACCAGAAAACTTCTTGGCCAGGGGGGTTTATCAACCAGGGGCTTTTTAATTGGGGGTGTCTGAATTTCTGGGGCCCGAGAACAACCGCGGTGACCTCTCTAGGGGTAGCTTCCCCATTCTGAACCCAGGGATCCTTCTTTCCAGAAACCCACCCAAAACCCCGGGGAAATGGCGATCGGTTTCTGAAAAGAACGATGGCTGAAAAGAATGGAAAAGGAATCAACCCCTAGAAACTCGCGGGGTTTCTGAAATCATCAAATATTTTTCTTGATTCAAAATTCACATGTATGTGATGAGGACCAACCTCTTTTTCTAAAAAACCCAGAAAAAAAAGAAAGAAGAAAAAACGCGGCGAACCTCCTTGAGGTTACCTCCACTTCCCCTCCGCCAGCAACTTGCCGCCCTGGCGCGCGCTGCTGCGGCTCCGGCGCGAAGGCCGGTGCCGCCACCTGGGCCTCTCCAACTTCGGGCGCTCCGACGCCTGGCGCGCAGTCGGAGGTGGCTCCTCCCCATTTTTGGGTGGGGAGCTGCCCGGAGCTTCTGTTTTTTCTTCTGGGTGGTGCTCGTCTTTCTTGGAGTTGGTTCCCCGTTTTCTTTTTCGTTTTTTTTTCTCGGGAACAAAAGGGAAAGACATGTTTGTTTACTGGGGTCATTGTTCTGATTGTTTCTGGGGGTTGTCAAGGCTGGTTGTGCCCCTCCAACCCACCGCCGAACGGGGGTGACTTTGATCATGGTAGATCACGAGGCCAGATTTACCCAAAGGCAAAGCACCAGGGGGGTGGTTGAATCTTCATCTTCGTGTTCAGACCATAGAGTTTAGCGAGCCATAGAGTTCGCGCCATAGATGGATCCTGTCACTAGGCACGAAGATGGTGCTATGGCCTGGAGCCAGTGAGGCAGAGAGGTTGCAACTTGAAACGGGCTGATCTTGCTACTTTGCTCCTATCATGGCTGACTTTAATTGGTTTTAAAGTACCCGACAAATGATTTTAGTCCCTTTGCGTTGGTGGCAACAGGGAAGACCCCGGGTTCTTTTCTCCTCACGCCTCGCAGAAATGGCCAACTGTGGGTTGATGCGCCACGAAGAAATTCAGGAAGCCATTGGGAGTCAATGGCTTCTTGCGGCTTGTTCTATTTGGGTCTGGGTCAAAATTAGGCACCAGGGGACCACAGGTTTTTGTCCTTGATTCCATTTACCCGGGTTCCATTTTGGGTACCCTTTTTTTGACCCACAGCCATTTCAGCGCCTTCTTTGCAAGCCGTCCCACCTGGGCGACGTTCAATTTTTAGCAGGTAAGTCAACAGCCATCGTCATCAACAGCTTGATGGTTTTTTACTGCATCGGCGTGCGGCGTTGTGGTTTGCCATGACGCAGTTTTTTTCTTCTTCCCGGGTACGCCGCTGAGTGTGCGCTTCTGCGGTTGACATTCTCAGTTTGTGCCACCTTTGGTAGAGGAGGGCTTGGACCTCAAAAGAGGAGTTTGGGCCAAAATCTATTTTGATACCTGGGTGCCCCACAATCCAACCAGCCGACAACGCCCTCAGGAGATTGAAGAGATCTTGGCCCACAGCGAGGTGAAACCTGTGGCTTTGCAGACGCTTGCTGCAAGGGTGAGGGCTGCAGGTCTTCCGTTTGCTCTGGCCCATTTCATCCTGAAGCTATGGCAGCAGATCTGTCACACAATGGCCCCCCCCTCACTGCGACAAAAAGAATCGACGGATGCCTTGGGATAGATGGAAGTAAAGCAATGACCTCAGGTGGCCGTGGCTCAAAATTAAACAGGAGGGGTTACGCGGGTTTTGGTCCATGTTCCACTTACCAGGGATCCATTTTGGTACCGTTTTTTTGAGCCACAGCCAGGTGAGGACAGACGGTCCTTGTGCCTTTGAGCAAAGGCGTCAGAGCTGGCTCCCAGTGGCTGACAAGAGACGACCTTCCGCTTTTCTTTTGCGGTTCGATTGGGATATGCGGACGCGCCCAATTTGTCAAGGCTGACGAGGTGACAGCCTGGCAGTCCCCCAAATGGATGAAGTTGATGTGCACAGATAGGAGTGTCTCTTTTTTCGAAGGTACCCCTTTTGGGGGTTGGTTTCAAAAGAAACCAAGGGGAAACCGTCATTTTCAATCACACACACAGATGTCAAAATAGGAGGACCCCTACAAGGGTGGCATTCCTTTAGTTGTCCCTTTACACCAACGAACAAGGGTACCCTCAAAATTCGAACACATACAAACGAAAAGCAACATGGTGAAGAGGTAAGGGTAGCCTCAGAAAAAAAAGGAGAAAAACAAACAAAGACACTCCCACATCCACATAATCTACATGAACACACACACACACACACACACACACACACACACACACACACACACACACACACACACACACACACACACACACACACACACACACACACACAAACACTCACACACACACAAACACACACACACACACACACACACACACACACACACACACACACACACACACACACACACACACACACACACGCACTCACGCACGCACACACACACACACACACACACACACACACACACACACACACACACACACACACACACACACACACACACACACACACACCCACAC